AGTCAGGTTCATCAGTTTTATAGTCTTCATCTTCTAAACCACTATCAACATTCCTATCATCCATGTAATCAGGATCATCACTATCTTCTTCATCCCAAGCTTTGTTATCCACTTCCTCATCTTTGACATCTTCATCTGCTGCTCCTTCATCCCCATCTCCATTATGCATTTCCTCATCACCTACATCTTGTTTTTCATCTCTACAATCCATCTCTTCTTCACTTATATTTTCCATGTCATTCCAAGTCAGTGCCTGCTTAGCACTAACTGGTTCTCTTGGGGGTACTAAATGTTTCCCTTTTGGACTTACCACTTGTAATGGGTTCTGACCCTTCTCCACATATAATTGAATCACATCTAAACCTTCATACTCACATATGATGGTATATACATCAATATCTTCTTCAATTATTGTCAACCCATCATCCAAAGTTTTTGTAGATTTCTTATACCACAAAACAGAAGTACTATAGACATCTATTTTCATCTCCCTCAAGATGATATGAATCTCAATAAAAAATAGTTTGTCAAGATCAACATCATATGTATATATATATATTCCATTTTCCCTTGTTTATAAGCAATATTAGGAGGCTAACTGAAGTACCTATGATAGTTGATCTCAAAAATCATTTTTTTTACCTCACTGCAGAAAACAACAAAACTTCACAATATTACATTACAAAACTCAAACTCATTGGGACCACATAACAACAATCATAAAAAAATCCAAAGTTAACATCATAAAAAAATACATGTTGTTTATGAACCTCTATACCCCACCCCACCCCACCCCACCCCACTTTAGCCAACATCCCAAAAAAATAAAGTAATAAAAGGCATGAATACTAAAGTATACAAAAATAAATCTGTGAATAAAAAATACTCAAAGTTAACATCATGAAAAAAATTCCCCATTACTTATGAAGCTTTATACCCTACCCCGCCCCACTTTAACCACAATCCCCCAAAATTAAAGCAATACAGGCATACCATGTCTAAAACCTTACAAATTTTGTGAATCGAAGTCAACACACACTTAGTTATGAATCAAAAGTAGGGAAAATCAACATCTAACGATCAAAATAAATTAGGGTAAACAACACATACCTAAACTAGTAATGGTGTTCGCAATATGATGGTAGAATTGATGATGAAACCCTAGTTCAATCCAATCAACCACGGCGAGAAAGAAGATATAGAGAGAAAGAGAGAGCAAATAGAGATGCGAATACTGATGTTAGTCAAATGAAACGAAACGACTGAGGGATGTAAAATATCTAAGGGCATTTATGCCTTTTTACAACTTCTGTTACGTCCGTTGGATTTTGCACTCTAGTATGAAATATAAGGGGTTTAAGTGTTACAAATGAAACTATAGGGGGGCTTCGTGTTTTTGAGGCAAACCATAGGGTGTTAAATTATAATTTACCATACATTTTAATACTTGAAGATGTCAATATATGCGAATTTTACAAATAAAAAGAAAAGATAATATTCACTATTAATTAAGAGTGTCTTGCTGCAATAAACAATTTTAAATATGCTATCATTTGTAATTTTACACCTTTTTTTTTTTGGTAAAAAAAATAGATGTGCAGATAGGTTATTTCACATATCCTTACATGGAGCATTGCCCTTTAATATCTACAGACATCTAGCGAAACTAACACCGTACCTATGTTGAGGCCGAAACTAAGATTCCAACGTACTCTGGGTGTGTTTGCTTGGACGGATTGGATAAGGGGGATTGTAATCCATCAGACTGTTAGTTCGGGATGCATTGTCCCCGGACTATTGGGTTGGACTGGATTTGTATCATATGTTTGTTTAGTCATGGGATTAGATGTATGGATTGGACTATTTTAAGTGAATCCAATGCTTGGTTGGACGGATTGGATAAGGATAAATATTCAAAAGACTATTTTACCCTTGTAATTTATAATTTTTATTTAATATGTAATTTTAAATTTGTAATCTATAATTTATAATTTAACAACACTAAAAAAATTTAATTTATAAGGCCATAATTTTTAATTTATTATTTTTAATTAAATTTAATTTATAATTTATAATTTAAATTTTTTATTTAATATATAATTTTAAATTAACAACACTAAAAAAATAATTTATAAATGTTCAAAAGACTATTTTACCCTTTTCCAATTGTTTATTAAGTAATAGCATGAGGGTAAAATGGACATTTCACACATTAATCCCATAAGATACCAATCCCATGGAAATAATCCCACCATTCTTCCTAGGATACAATAATCCCCCATATGAGGGACTAATAGTTCGGAGGGAATATTAATCCGGAGCAAAAAAATTGAACCAAACAATGGACTATTAGTCTGAATGGATTAATAGTCCAATCTCATGAAATAATCCCTCAAAACCAACACACTCTCTGGGTGTGTTTGTTTTGAAGGATTAGGGTGTGGGATTGGACTATTAGTCCATTGTTTGTTTGAAAAATTTTGCTCCAGACTAATAGTCCCCCCGACTATTAGTCCCACAAATATGAGACTATCTTATCCCATAGGAGGGGGTGAGATAGAAACCATGGGATAAATCATCCCATGGGATTAGATAATGAAATTACATTTTTGCCCTCTAGTATTTAATTATGTATTATATTTAGTAAAATTCAAAAAAAACTAAATGTCTCAATTTAAAAATAAAATAATTTTATTTAATTTTTATCTTTGTTTTATTTATTTAATTTTTTAAAATATTTTTTATAGATATTTTATTCATGTTTTATTTTTAAATTTTGTTTATATTTTATTTAATTTCATTATTTAAATTTTAATAGATGTTTTATTTTATTTCATTATTTAATTATTATTATTATTTAAAATAAATTTTATTAAAATTTTAATTAAAAAATAACATATATTTTTATTTATATTTAATTTATTTAATTTTTTTAAAATAAATTTATTTAATCGTGTAAAAAATAAAATAAAATAAATTTTTATTTAATCTAACTAAAAATAATTAAAATATTAAAGCTATGTTTAATATTACTATTACTTAGTAAATAATTGAAAATGATAAAATAGTCATTTGAGCATTTATCTTTTTTCATAATATTCCAAACAAATATTAGATTCACTAAAAATAGTCCAATCCAAACATCTAATCTCGTGATTAAATAAACATAGGATACAAATCTAGTCCAACCAAATAGTTCGAAAATAATATATCCAAAACTAATAATTCGATAAATTATAATTCCCTCTTATTCAGTCCGCTTAAACAAACACACTCTCTGACTATTAAAAAGTTTAGCCCCAATAATCCACTATGAGAAGACTTATACCTAGATGTTAAGCGAGGTGGATAAGCTCCTTACCACTAAACCAACAAATCATTGGTAATCCCACGTCTCCACATTCACCTTATTTCGTTCTTTTCTCTTTTTTGTTTTTGGTTTTTTTCTCGTCACTTTTATCTCTTGCCCGCAACACTATATTGAGATAGTGAATTTGTTGATACAGTGCGAATAAAACATAATAGTTCCACAATAAATGTAAAATTAACCAATCAAAAAATATATTTTGTTCATAATGTACGGATAAATTCACAATTCCATAATATGTCTCGTTTGAAAATATATTATTTTAATAATTTTTTAATTTTTTATAAAAAATATTTAAAAAAATAAAGAGAATGATATTATTTTAATATTTTACAATGACTTTTTGACTAAAATATTTTCTCAAACGAGGCCTAAGGAAAGAAGACAACAACAAAGTAGGGAAATGACAAGATTATGGATGAATAATCTTACGCGAATTACTTACTATCCATAGTTTTTTAATTGTGATACATTTGATCTTGGATCTCGTTATAAATAAGGATAATTGAAGACATTGCTACTTCATTTCAAAGGCAAAGTTGTCAATTTGATAAAATATAAATTAGTTTGACAAAAATAAATGTCAAAAAAATATTTTTAAATTTTAAAAAATTATTTCTACTCATCAAAGATAAAGTTATATAAAAACGATTTTTTTTTTTAAATTTTTTACAAGATTTTTTTTTAGTATGTATTTGGATGACGATCATGTAATGAGTAGTTATTTTTATTGATATTTTTTGATAGTTATCATGTACTAGATGGCTGTATTTGTTGTTAATAACTATTTTTGAATGGTTATTATGTAATGGATAATTATTAAGTTTTTAATGTATAATAGATATGTTTAATATATAAAATATTTTTAGTTTTCGATTTTTTGATTTAATGGATTGATTTTATAATGATATTAAAATTGTAGTCATTTTGACTTTTAAAAAAATAAAAACTAATTTAATAAAAATAAATATAAAAAAATTATTTCTACCCTCTCAATAGGTAAAATTATATAAAAATGATGTGTTTTTAATTTTTTTTCACCAATTTAATTTTTAGTTTCTTAGAAATTTTGTTTGAAAATAGATTCTAAAAACCAAAATTAAACAGAATTTTATAACCATAAAGGTTTCAACATTATTCAATACAAAAATGTCATTATATTTCAAATAACACATAAGTTAACCAACACAAAATAAGTTATATGACGACTTTACTCTTTAAATAGAGTAATAATGTCTTCAATTATCCTTATTTGGAATAAAATTTAAAATTCAGAGAACCAAAGCGACACAAATTTCAAATTATAAAAATCATTAGTATAATTCGTTAAATAATCGTTTAAAAATAAATTTAATACATTCAATTATTTAATTTGTTTAACAAATAAGAGTTGGACAGACTTTTGACTTCAATTTTTTTTTCAGCTAACGCAAAATTACTTCAAAATAATTGAAAAATCACATGTAAATATCATAAATATTTTTAAATTTATAGGAAATATTTTGAATTTTTTTCCTTCTATAATTATCAGCTAGACCCAAAAAGACATTTGGAATGCAGCAATTATTGATCGAGTCAACTATAACGATGAATCCGAATCATGTTGATTAGATCTAATGCCTAAACATGGTGACAAGTCCGCCACGCGACTCCCTGCCAACTTCTAATCAAAAAAATTGATGAACAAAACTCCAAAAACTTGCACCAAACCAAATCGAACTCCCCTTTTTCTAATCCCTTACATACACCGCGCGTCCCACGTGCTTCCTTCGAAGTTTCAACTCCAAAACAGTGAATTGAAACACCTCGATTTTGCTTCCAAGCAAATTTCTCTTCTGGGTCTGTGTTCAATCCAAACAATCGTGTTCTTAATCTTGGATTGTTTATTGTTCAATCCAAGCGTCTTTCTCATCTGGGTTTGTGTTCAATCTAAACAATCATGTTCTTAGCTTAGTAGATATTCGTTTGAGCGTGTTTGGTTTAATCTGGGTTAATCAAGCATATTTCTCATCTGGGTTTGTGTTTTCAATCCAAACAATCGTGTTATTAGCTTAGTGGATTTTCCTTTGAGCACATTTGTCATCTGGGTCTGTGTTCAATCCAAAGAATCGTGTTCTGAGCTAGGTTGATTTTCGTTTGAGTTTGTGTGGTTTAATCTGGTTCAATCCAAGCATATTTCTCATCTGGGTCTTTGCTCAATTTTCATGGCACACAATATTTCCTTTCTTGTATTGTTCTTGTTATTGATTCCTTCATATACCCATGTTCAATCCACAGAGGAAGGTTTCATATCTATAGATGTATTCAGTAAGGGCATCGATTTTGCTAAAGATTTGCTAATCAACTCTGCAATCTCCTCCATGACTCCGCTCGAGGTGCCCCAAATTGAGAAACCAGTGAAAATTCCAGTTGTTGGTACAGTTCATATCACTCTTTCAAACATAGTTCTTTATCAGCTTGAGGTCCCTAATTCCACCGTCAAATCTGGAGATACCGGTATAACTATTGTTGCTTCTGGGGCCAAGGCATATTTGAATATGAATTGGAGCTATCACTATGGTACTTGGTTAGAGATTAAAGATAAAGGTGTTGCCGCCGTGGAGGTATTTTATTGCTAGATGCATAGACTGTAATGGCCGCTGTTGAATTTCATTTGATATATTTATGTGTTTAGATAGTGTTTTTAACAAATTGACTTAGCTTTGGGGAAAGTAGGATGAAGTGGAGTTGCTTACCTAATTTCGGACTTACAAATTACTACCAAATGGAAGTATGATTGTTTGTACTAATCAGGAGATCAAATTGTCTAACAATTCCTTTCAATTTAGTGATAGAACCTCAAATCTTCAAAATTAAAAAAAGGGGATTGGTAGGAAGCATCGAGAGCTCAGGTGAAAACGAATTGACTAACCAAAGGGATGACAAAAACTATACCTGATTCAATCTTAATGCAGTAATGAGTTTTGTAAGTAAGCTGAAGAAGGTTTAATCTGAATGCCCATTGACTAACCTAGCAAGACCAATCACTTCTGCTACCCGCTAGATTTTAGAACACTAATATTGCTTATTTTAACAAGATGTCTAATTGATGATAAAGTTTCTTTCCAAGCAATACCCATTTGTCATACTCTCTACAGATGATCAAGTCACCGATACATATGTAGAAGTATATCGTTATTATTCAAACTTAAGAGAAACATAAGACTGACTTACATTGGCATCTGGGATTGAAATTTGCAAGTTGCTGGTACTGTTAGACTTCCCAATCAAAGTAGCATTAACCAAAATTTTCTAGCGAAGTAGTGGTTGTTTAGATGCAAAATCTTCTCATCATCATCCATTTGTTCAAATATCCAATAGTCCATGCAGTAATGCTATTTTCAATATAGACATCCCTTAGTTGATTAAAGTGGAAGTTTACTCTAATTTTCGGTTCACTTTTAGTGGAGGATTTGTTGGGTGTCTAGTGGTGGAAAAGTGAGTTTCAGAAGTAATGCATCAATGTGAACCAGACACCATTCTTATATGCTGACTTTTGTATTTTATTGGGCATAAATATACACTCTGTCCTAGAATTCTGCCTTTTCTTTTGTAAGGTTAGATGATTATCTCCAACATTTCTTTTTACCAAAGGGGAATTAACAAGTGCTTCTTCTTATAAGGTTAAAGGCATGGAAATTGGACTTACTTTAGGGTTGAAGAACCAACAAGGAACTCTTGAGCTGTCTCTCCTGCAATACGGATGTCATGTGGAGGATATTTCTATAAAGATGGAAGGTGGAGCATCTTGGCTATACCAAGGGTATGCAATCCTATTGTATAATGTGATTTTTTCGAGATTTTTTTAAATTACTTTCTTGGATTTTAGCATTAATATTCAGTTAATCTTCTGCCCTAACCAGTGATCATGAGTAATCTCAAGCTTTAAAAGGCTGCATCTGATGAACAGTAAAGGTGCTAGTTGAAGATTCTAGAATCCCTCGATAAACTCAAATCAACAAGCCTTGCATCCAACTAGTTAACGCTTTGATGAAATAGCTTCCTTTACATGTTTTACGAAGGTGTTACACAAGATTAGGTGATGCAGGACAATTAGGGACAGCAGCAAATCTAGGATTTTGGGTCTGATTTTAATTGGATTATAGAAGATTTTTATCAGTTTCTCTATGAAATCATGCCAATGTCCAAGTATCATCACTTCTCTGAATTTTGCCTTCCTTGAGCAACTCTGCATCATTAGGTCAATTATATTGACACAATTGGTTTAGTAATCAGTTGGTTAAGGTCTACTACTCCACATCTATCACTGGGTACTAACCTGGAAAAACCTTATTTATTTATTTATTATAAGTAATTAAAATTCGTAAAAAATGGCATTAAGGGAATGGCAGTCGAGTAAAATATGGAGGCAGAAAAGCCAAAAATACATCTATCCACCTCCCCGAGAATAAAAAAGCTAAAAAAATTCCAAAAATTGGTCTAAAGAAGGATTAATAACACCTCCAAACCATGCAACGAACTCAAGAAAGAACATTTGAGCTTATGCAATGGAACCTCTATACCATCAAATGACCTTCGACCCCAAATGATCCAAAGATACAACTTCCTCCTTCTCTTGCCCACTCTATTTCCTCGACCAATCACTCCATAGGAAAAACCTATACCATCTTGGACCAAGATAAAACGGATATTCCACACCTCCCTAGTCACTCTGCAATGAAGAAGGTGATTAACTGATTCATCATTATGCTTACACGTATAACACCAATTCACTAACACCTGACATCACTAGATCAAAATATCAATTCTTGAAAGTATCTGTTTCCGGGACTATGACCTCCGTAGATATTATTAGTTGAATTGTGCAATTGATCTTCTTTCTACTTTCCAGAATTGTGGATGCTTTTGACAAGAAAATACGTTCACAAATTGAAGATGCTATTTCCGAGAAAATCGAAGATGGGATTATTGAGCTTGACTCTTCATTGCAATCGCTTCCAAAAGAAGTTGCAGTAGATAAAATTTCTGCCCTGAATGTTACCTTTGTGAATGACCTTGTTTTCAGTAATTCTTTCATTGGCCTTGAGATTGATGGGTTATTCACAGCAAGGGATGAGATTAAAGCTTCTAACCATTATTCAAGAAATTCACTAGCTTCAGTTCCCTGTGAAGGTCCAGCTAAGATGGTTGGGATTTCAATACATGAAAATGTTCTTAATTCAGCCTCTTTGGTTTACTTTAATGTAAGTCCATATACTTCACATTACTATGCAGTTGGATAGTTGAATTGCATTTAAAAATTGTTAAATATATTTTCTGTGGTCAGGCAGATGTTATGCATTGGATTGTTGATGAGATACCGGATCAGTTCTTGTTGAACACTGCCGAATGGAGACATATTCTTCCTCAGCTGTACAATCAATACCCAAATGATGAGATGAATGTGAATATTTCTATAACTTCACCACCGATAATAAAAGTTACACAGCAGAACATTGATGCTGAAATTTACTCAGATTTGACAATTGATGTTTTGGATGGTGGCAAAGTAATACCAGTTGCATGCATCTCAGTGGTAAGCTTAATTTAAATGTCAATTAGGTTTTTAGTTTTAACTGTTATAATCTGAAATTATGTTACCTAGAACGCGGATCGTTCTGCTACGAGAAATGGGAATGGGAACATGGTATGCCACATGCTTTAAAATGTGGTATGATAGGGTAAACTTCTTAATTTGACATCCAATATATTATAGTGTATTTTTTTTTTGTCAAATTAATCGTTTAACAACACAATTTTATGAGCATTATGACCCATTATTTTACATTTTATTAATCCAAAACTCCGCTCTATCTAGATTTTAGTTCATTATATTTGACTTTTTATCTATTAAGGAGAACTATTAATGAAAAACATAGAAAAATAATGGGATCACTTTGGATCACTAAATTTACCATTTTAGAATGGAAAGTGTACCATGTTTTGTAAGGTGCGTTCCAAAATGTAAATCACTAGGGTGTGTTGTCTAGTGACATTGATATGAAAGCAGAGCCGTAACTTTTGCAGTTTACTCATTTCTTTCTTCTTGTTCTCAAACTACATAATGTGTTTAGTTCGTCCAAATGTAAGTACTCTAGTAATAAACATTGTGAAACCTAAGGACGGATAGCAAATAGTAGTTAGGTTTCACAGTAAAAGTGGTCATGATCTGGCACGTTGCCAAGTGTCATCTGCCCCCAACCTTGTGGTTGCAGGTCTGAATCAGTCTCTCCACAAAAAGGTGGGGGCAAGACTGTCCACCTCTATCTCTTCTAGATCCAAATGGGTGCCTAGTGAATTGAGTACAATACAACCAGCTTTCACTATAATTTTTTTTTTGGTGTTTTATGTTCTATTGTTTATGATAGAATCTGGGGCAATTTTTTGTTGGTGCAGGTGATTAATCTTTCAGGTTATCCTGAAATCTCTAGGAATAATCTAGCTGGTAGTGTCAAATTGAATGATCTCACCTTGTCTTTGAAGTGGAGCACAATTGGTAGCTTGCATATTCATCTACTGCAGGTATGCTGGTTCAATCTTCAATTGCATTATGATAAGTACTTGTAGTACATCACATAAGAATGTGTAGACGGTATTGGAACTCGAACATCTCTCATTGATTGCATTAAGACGACCTAACCAGCTTGTGACTTGGCTGTTACTTGCTTTGGTTCAATCTTTTTCTTGTTGGAAGATTTTAATTATTCAGAACAAAATGACTGACTATTCTTTCCAGATTTTCAAATGTATAGACTGTAATACAAAAGTTGTCAATCGGAGTACTATTTTAGTTTCTTGGTCTATTGATTTAGTCATACACACTTAACCGACTTGGAATTATTACTTTTTTCTACTACTTTAGATTAAAATTTTCATATACATATAATTTGCACTTTGGGAGTGTCATGAATATGCTGGCTTGGGGAGTCTCAATGACAAGCCACAAAACTGGCTGCAGGGATTGGGGCCTTTTGCACTGGATTGTTCATTGAGTAAGCATACGCTGTGAGCTCTTGTTCTTGTTAGTTTAAGTCCCTTCCATTGTTCCGTTTGATTGGAAAGAAAAATTGTGGAAAGTGAAATAAAGGAAAAGAAATAGAAATGAAAATATATTTTCTTGCAAGCAATTGGTAGGATGAAAATTTTGCGAGAAACGTTTAGAGTTTAATTATAGATAACCCTTGCATGGACAAATTTCAATTTTCTTTTGTATTTCTTGTAGTTTCCACTACTTTCGTGCTAAACAAACTCAGAAAAGTTTTATTTTTCTCGTTCCTTCACTTTTTCATCCTAAACAAACTAAGCCTAAAAGGGTTGTAATATTATTTTAAAGTAGGTTTGTGTTACCCATTTTATGTAATTGGAACATGAAACTGTGTACTGCACTGTCTGAATAAAGTCATTTTGCATAGATTTAGATTATAATTATGCTTGTATTTTATAATTGTCTTCCAATCTTGTTTTCCTTTTATTTTTCTTGTTCCATAAAAAGGACCAAGTTATTTGTAGCATATCGTTACAAATTTGTAATGAAGCTTTGAAAAACTTTGCAGCCAGCAATTGAAGCTGTCCTGAAAACGGTTCTCGTGCCATACGTGAATTTACTCCTCTGGAAAGGAGTTCCTTTGCCAGATTTACTGGGCTATACGCTTCACAATGCTAAATTCAGCTACATTGATTCAAGGATTATTGTTTGCAGTGATATAGCGTCCTTAGAACAACACAAACTTGATGCTCTTGTGGTTTATTATGAGTAGCTATTCTAGGCAAGTGTATTGGAATGTACAAGCAAATTGCTAAGAATGTGAAATGTTTATTATTGTTTCATGTAACATTTCACACAGTTTGCTTTTTATTTTTTATTTTCAAGTGCCTTGTAAAATAGTGTGTTTGTATTGGACATATTTGTAACATGCAACTCTATTTGTGAACTTGAGAAGAATAGTTATTTCTAGGGGGGTTTGGCAATTTGGTTTTTTAGCAGTATTGTTATTCGATTTTTTGATTTTTTTTTTGGGAAAAAATGTCATCATTTATTTAAATTTAAACTATTTAAAAAAAAGATTTTTTTTTAATTGTAATTTTGTTGTTATTATAATTTTTTCAATCAAAATTAATTGGACTAAAAGCGCCTAAAAAGATAAGTATTAAAAAATGCAAACGAAAAAAACTCAAGCGATAAAAGTTTGTCTGCAATAGAAAAATGTTAGGGATATTAAGAATAAAGCTTTGGACCCCCAGTGGGGGTACTGGAGTTCACCTCCCATTGGTCCAAAAAAACAACAGTTTTTTTTTTTTTTTTTTTTTTTTGAGTTTTCAGCCAACCCCAGGCCGACACGTGGCACTGGGGGGGGTCACTGGGGGTCATCCCCAGTGGGGGTCTGTAGCATTGCTGGGATATTAATAATCTTACTAACACATTCACAAGTTGATGTGAATCCCATATCAAGTGATGGTTGATTTTATCAGAACTCGTGAGTGTGTTAGTAAGATTGTTAGTAATTTATCCCTAGCATTATTGGTCCGAAATATGACCTTGGAAATAAGAATAATAATTAATGAATATATAACTCAAAGTACAATAAATGATATTTCTAAACATACTTCTAATTTCTGCTTACATACACCCACCAATTAATGATTTTCTTATGGTAAAATTACACTTGAGGGCAAAAGTGCTTAAATCATAACTTTTTAAAAAAATATAAAGAATATCAAATAACCTTTCAATAGTTAGCGGTGGTAAGCCAACAAATTATTAGCGATTATACAAAAACAAGTCGGGATTAATAGATGATGGAGAGAAAAAAATTGTGAAGCTAATTTTGATAATTGGGGAAGGGTGGTAAAAAAATCAAATAAAGTTTTTTATATTTATAATGGAATTTAGAATAATCCCAATGTCGGTCGTCCAACCACTGCCATCATCGCAACACTGTCGTCACCCCCCTCCACAACTATCATCGTAACACTCTCATTCTTACTTTTTTGATCTCAATCTTGATCTAAGGTTTGCCTCACCATCGTGATCCATTTTTTTCCTTGCCATTGTTGTAAGACTCCTACAAACCCTAGATCTAGGGTTTGCGTCGCCTTTTCACCCTAGTTGTTGTTGTAATCACTGTTGTAACTTATGCTAAGAAAAAGAATAAGGGGAATTAGGGGTGTGGGTTCATGACTCTTTCTCTCTCTTTCTCTTTCTCTTTCTTTTTCTCACACTCTCTACGAAGATGGTGGTGATCCATCAGCCTAGCAGCGATCACAGAAGGTAGCGATGATGGGTGGTGACAATGGTGGTTGCGAATGGATGGTGACAACGGTGCCGAATGTGAAGAATGATAGGGTTGCGAATGAGTAATGATAGCGGCGAAGGGTTTCATAGTGAGTTGTTGAGAAGCTGTCATTGCTAATGAGGGTAGAGGTCGCCAAAAAGAAGGTCGCTAACGGTGAAGGGTTGTCGGCGAGAGGAATTGTTAGAAGAAGAAGAGTTGGGGGTCCAAAGAACAAATGTATAATTGACATTAAAGTGGGGGTTCAAAGAGAAAATAAAGAAAACTCGATTTGTTGGGTAAGGGTTAAAAAAATAAGAGAAACAGAGTAGAAAAGTAAGAGTAAATAGCAGCTCTCTTAAGAAAACTTTCTTACGAATTCTTCATACAACATTTAATGCTAAAATGATATAGAATAACATTAAAAAAAATTTAATCACTTTTACCTTAAAGTCTTAAGGTTATGTTTGATTCACAAGATTAATAGTGAAGTATTAATAATTCTATTAAATTAGTGTCGTAGTCATTATCCAATTGGATTAATATCTATTGGATTAATAATTCCACCACTACCCCCATTACTAATAATCTTACAAATTTGTTGGATTAATTATCTATTGGATTAATAATCCTAAACCAAAATGTTAAAACAAACATAGAATAATTGGGCTCACGGATTAATAATCTCAATCCCATACTCTAATCCACCCAATCAAATATGCCATAAGAGTAATAATAACACTACTTGCTACATTATTTATGTTGATTTTTTATATAAATTTTCATTTACTTAAGTTATAATTATTGAAAGGTATAAGGGTAAGAACAAATAACAGCAATCGTCGCATCCATTGGATTAATAATCCTAAGCCAAAATGTTAAAACAAACATAGAATAATTGGGCTCACGAATTAATAATCCAAATCCCATACTCTAATCCACCCAATCAAATATGCCATAAGAGTAATAATAACACTACTTGCTACATTATTTATGTTGATTTTTTATATAAATTTTCATTTACTTAAGTTATAATTATTGAAAGGTATAAGGGTAAGAACAAATAACAGCAATCGTCGCAGAGTAGCACAAAAGTAGCGTACAACCCTGGTTAATAACAGCAGTCGTACTACAAATAAAACACACACACTCTCTCTCTCTCTCTTTCTCTTTCTCTCTCTAAAAATTGGTCTCCTCTCTCTGCTCAGTTTTTGCACCAAGCCTCTTTCACAAACACCCTCCGCACACCATATTACTCTAACTTACGCACATCACAAAGCTCTCTCTTCAATTACCCGCCAAAAGGTTTTTATAATTTAACGGATCTTTATTTCGTTTTTTCTCTCTCCCCCTCTTCTGTTTCTCTCTCTAGGGTTCCCTGCCCTCCCATGGCTTCTCACCTCTCTTCTCTGTGCAGGTTTCTCTTCAAATCTCTCTTTCTTCGAAGCCGTTTTGGGAATCTTCAACGTTTATGGAGTGAGAGACATGGTGAATTCAGATAATTTGACTGAGGACGATGCTGGATCTATCGTTGGGGAGAAGAGGCCGGCGGAGAACGGAGAGGACGTTGAATTGGGGGTTCCGTTGCCGAAGAAGGCGAGGAATGGAGGCGGATTGGTTGGGAATGTGAAGAAAGTGGCGGAGATTGTGCTGGTGTTGGCGGCGATGGGGAAGATGAGGGGAGGGAGGAATCCGACGGCGGCGGAGAAGGGGATGATGGCTGAGGCTAGGGTTAAGTTGTCGGAGGTGTGTGAAGAGTTTTCTCCCAAGGATGTTTTCCCTAGGGACGCATTTGGGGCTGTTATTGATGATCTTGGTCTTAGTAAGTTGAGGGAACAGAGGTTAGGGTTTCGGCCTCCCAAGATGTCAATTGCTGAGAAGTTGTTGATTACCAAGCAAAAGGTGAAGTTTCTAATTGAATTTAAGTTTCTTGTCCGATTCATAATTCAGTAGGCTAATTTTATTTATTTATTTATTTTTCACTATGCAAGTCATTTATTATGTTTCCGTCATTTAAATTTATTTAGAAGAAACGAAGGATAAGGAATTGTTGTCCATTAATGGGTTGTTTTTATTCCAATTTTTTTGGCAAAATGTAAGGAGCCCTTGTTTATTGTGAGACAGTGTGGTTGAATTTAGAAGTGTGTCTCCCATGGGGAAGATTACTATTATGTTTTTTAAATAAGTAAAATAGGTTGATGATTTAAAATTGGAATTTTTTTTTTAATGCTTGTAGAAGTGTGTGAATATTTTCTAATGGGTCTGTGTTATGTGGGAGTGTAATTGGTTACTTGTCAGCAGCAGCAATAAAATTTGACTGGTAGATGTTATTTTCAATCCCAGACTACTCCAACTAAGCCGGCCCATATTGGAAATAGTGGGAGTAGTGAATAACTTTTATGGTCGTAGACGACTGTTGTGACTGATTATCATCTAATGAAAATGCTGAACTTTCATTAGCCAGGGAGAAATAAGTTCAAACAATTGTTGATGAATGCACAACTGAGTTTAGTTATTGAATCAAAATGATTTTTCACGCTTTTGATGACTTCTATTGTACTTACTACTTTGCTCATTAGGGTAAAGCTTTATGAACTCATACTTGTTCTGCATGTATTTGTCATGACCAATGCTGCTTTAATATTACACCACTTATTTTCACCATGATGTTTACTACTTTTTTACTCAATCCCCTTTTAGATGGAAAAATCTGAAGAATTTTCTTTGCGTTCTGCTATGCATTCATCTCAGCGGTTGCAAAAGAACTCGGGTGCAGCTCCTGAAAGCCATCGGGCATCACACACTACTAGAATGTTTCCATCGGATAAACCAAATCATGCACTGATTTCTTCTGGAGGTTTCCAACCTTGTTCACCTTTAGGTGTTTCTGCTGCAAACTCTACATCTTTACCGTATCAGTTGCCTGCGAGTGAAGTAAGAACATCCTCGGTTTCCAGTGGATTACCTACCAATCTTCCAGGAGGGGATTCTTCATCCTCGATGTTGCCTAGAGTTGAAAGACCACATTTCAGGTTGGATCCTAGATCAAATGGTTCGTCGCATACATCGCAAATTCAAGGTATCCCTTCTTTTGCTGCCTCAACCACATGTAACAGTTGAAGATCTGTTTCGCTAATATTATTGTCACACCCCAAACTCGCCCCTAAAAGTTCGGGCATGACCTATGTAGATACGGACACATAACCTGATATACATAGTATATGGGGCCTGAACGGAAGCATTTAATATTACAAAGTAACATAGAATAACATCCGTTGAGCTAAAACTAACATGCCAGGATCACATACGTGAGAGCCATTTATCCATATACATACCCATACATATAAATGAGCGTATATCCGAACATTGGTAAAGAAGGGGGTATATACATACATTTTAACCTTAAGTAAATAATTAAAGTGCAAGCCAAAATCTTAACAAAACTTCACATAAATGCATGGGCTGGGTCTGGGAGTCTGGGCATACTGAGGTTGACAATTGAAGGGTGAGCATCAAGGGTTAAGACGGACTTCCAAAGTAATTACCAACAGAATAGACATAACACAAAGTGAGCGAAGCTCAGTGAATAATAGTACATAAATGATTCAATGCTCAACTTGAAGTATAATACATATCAATGCATACATAAATAAAGAGGGCATAAGGTTAATTGATTCTGCACTAATTTCATAACGGTCTTAGGCCCAGTCTTGAAACATAATGACTTAAAACATAATATCTTGAAACATAATGGCTTTAAGCCTTTGAACAGAGTGGCAATAGGCCCTTGAACATATTGGCATTAGGCCCTTGAACGTGTTGGCATTGAGCCCTTGAACTTGTTGGCGTTGAGCCCTTGAACTTGTGTGTATGAACTTAAGAGGTGGCTCGCACGGATTCTAGAGATGACTCGCATTGCAGCACTTAGTTCCGTACAGCACTTTGTTTCATACTAACAGATCTTACAGATCATACAAAATGGCCATAGGCCTCATAACTTTCACAGAACAGCTTTCAGCCTCATAACTTTCACATAGGTATGGACTCAAGAGGTGGCTCGTACGGATTTTAGAGGTAACTCGCACTGCAGCACTTAGTTCCGTACAACACGTTGCTCCATACCAAAAATACAGAATGGCCTCTGGCCTAATAGATCATATAGAATGGCCATAGGCCCAGATTGGCTTTAAGCCTAGTTCATATATGAGCTTTCAGCCTCATAACTTTCACATATGTATGGACTCAAGAGGTGGCTCGTACGGATTTTAGAGGTAACTCACACTGTAGCACTTAGTTCCGTACAGCACGTTGCTCCATACCAAAAATACAGAATGGCCTCTGGCCTAATAGATCATATAGAATGGCCATAGGCCCAGATTGGCTATAAGCCTAGTTCATATATGTATGGATTCGAGAGGTGTCTCACATGGACTCTAGAGGTGGCTCACAATGTAGCACTTAGTTCCAAGTAGCACTTTGTTCCATACCAGTAATTAATAGGTCTTACAGACCAAACCATACATATCATGTCAAACCATAAACGGAAACAAATTCATACATATGCATTATACTTGAATCATAAACAGAAATCAGAATTCATACTTGATTATACTTGGCACTTCGCTAGCGCTAACAAATCAATATAAAGCATTCTTGTTAGTTCCATAAAGGAATCCCCCGATACTGAGAACTTATAACATACATGAACTTGTAACATACCTAAACTTGAGCATACTTGAACTTGTAACATATGTAAACTTGTAACATACGTAAACTTGTAACATCCTTGAACCACGGTATTATTACCCCCGGACAAGGGCCGTGTGCTACGGATGTCATTAGTACTTTACATATATGGACAACTGGTCATTAAGTCAAAACGTAACATATCAGAACATAGAGCATTTCTTGTTATATCATGTCATTACAGTACACTTAACAAAGACAGAACAATTTACATCATAACGTGAGTCACATGACAAGGTCATTGATATTTAATTCTATCTTCAAGTTGAGTCAGCCGTAAATCAATCCTTGTTTATCATAATGCTTAGCAGGTATTAACGTATAAAACAATCCGTGGTCTTAACTAATTATTCATTAAGAAATGGCATAGTTCACTTGATCTATTAATAGCATATAGAAGCATACACCTTTGTTTGATCGTTCATAGATGTTACCATAGTTGACTTGTACTTAACAAGGTACTAATGGTAGCCGTTACATCATTTACATGAGTTAACATAGATAAGTTTAACAGGACATTCCTGATAATTATTAATGGTATTATTACCCCCGGGTAAGGGTCGTGTGCTACGGATGTCATGAGTACTTTACATATATGGACAACTGTTCATTAAGTCAAAACGTAACATATCAGAACATAGAGTATTTCTTGTTATATCATGTCATTACAGTACACTTAACAAAGACAGAACAGTTTACATCATAACGAGAGTCACATGACAAGGTCATTACTATTTAACTCTGTCTTCAGGTTGAGTCATCCGTAAGTCAATCCGTTGTTTATCATAATGCTTAGCAGGTATTAACGTATAAAACAATCCGTGGTCTTAACTAATTATTCATTAAGAAATGGCGTAGTTCACTTGATCTATTAATAGCATATAGAAGCATACACTTTTGTTTGATCGTTCATATATGTTTCCATAGTTGACTTGTACTTAACAGAGTATTGATGGTAACCGTTACATCATTCACATGAGTTAACATAGTTAACTTAAGTTTAACAGGATATTTCTGATAATTATTAATGAGAGATAAGTACATTTACAGATTGAATGATTTCAGAGATACGTGAATACCATGGTTCCATAGTGTTTATACGTTCCCTTTGTTCATCATGAATCACTATAGCTATCTTGCAAATAACAAAATGTTAGTCTTCTTTGTCAACAGTAATACCGCTCAATAATGCCTCTAGATTTTCCAATCATCACATTGTTAACTTAATTACTTGCAAGGAACAACATATTAACGATAAAAATCATTAACGATAATTGAACGTACGACTACCGTACTACTACTCACAGTGATCAGTTCTCGATAGTAATAGGACGATGTCCTTGTCTCGACCTACAAGTACAGTGCACAACACATAATATGAGATTATACTCGATCCTTTACTTATTCTCTTTGATCATTCAATCAATTAGCCATGGTGGTACCAAGCTCATTATTCCTTACTAAGTTATAATCCATGTCTCAGAAAACCGGAGAAATCGGTGGAAAATGGTTTAGGTGAAGAAATGGTACAAAGCTGGTTGACAGAAAGTAAACAGTTGTCACTAATTTGGGCATAACTATTTCTGTATTTAGAATTTGGGAGTGAGACCACTTCCATTGAAAACTAGACTTCCGGGGCTTGATTTTAGGCTCAAGAATCACTCAAAACGGAGTCCGGATGCAAAAGATATGCTTGTTCAAAGTTACAAGGTAAAAACTGAAATAGAGTCGGCCGCTCGTGCGCCCACTGGCCGCTCGTGCGGCCCAATTCCGCTCGAGCGGAAGAACCCAGCCTCTCGAGCGCCCAAAAGCAGAATCAAAACCTCTTTTTCTTTTTTCCATGCTCCGCTCATGCGGTGCCCGTGGCCGCTCGTGCGGTCTGGGCAAAAACAAACAATCCGAAAATGGGTTTTTCTTGCTCCAACACTTGATTTTTTCATTTTCCAAAGCTTGTTTTCAACTTAAATCATTCAAAAACATGTAAAACTAATGAAATACATGGGATTATGATTGTTTTCTAAATTAAAACATCAAAGATACAATAAATCTTCAAGTAGGGAAATCAATCTCTTCATTTCTCTCTTTCCCAAGACTTCCTCCATATTCACATATATCTTCAATTATATATATAATTAACCACAAGATGAGCAAATATAACAACTTTACTCTTCAATCAAGCAACTCTAATTTATTTCCATATAAAATCTTCCATTTAATCTTTGATTCTTTGTGGTAGATGAGTTATCCACAAGGATGAAATCAAAGTCACATACCTTAATCCAAATCCATGTTTTTCCCCAAATTTCCATGGTCAATCTCCTTCCTCTTCTTCAAGCTTCCATGAGTGGTGAGCTCTCTCCCTCTTGTGCCCTCTCTTCTCCCGGTTCTCTCTCTCCCCCAAATATTTTGTTGGCTCAAAAAATGATAAGTCCCAACTCACTTAACATACACACACACATATATATATAACAAACACATAAGCTTTTCACAATAGGGAGCCAAACACGCCCTTACGAATCGCGTAAAATTAAATTTCAATTAAACTTTCTAGATGACTCTAAAAATTATGCTGATCTGAAATATGTCCTCTGTTCCGGGTTCTGAAGCTTCTAAGGCCCTCAATTTATAGTATAAAGTTAATCATCCAAACGCACATTAACGAATCAGACAAATTAGGTTTCTAATTAATTTTCCCAAGTAGTTCTAAAAATTCCCATTAACATACCCAAATACTCAATTTTGATTTCTGGATCCGTAAAGGTCGGTAATTCAATTTTAAAGCCGTGACTCAACAGATAATTTTCTCAATTGAACAGATATCATTAAAGTAAAATGCATTAACCCACAAGGACATAAAAGTAATTTCGGATACGGATTTTGGGGTCGTTACAATTATATTAAAAGAAATTTTTTAGGGAAATTCAAGGACATCTTATCTACAAAACTAGTTGTGCAGAGTCATTCATTGTGTAAAAGGTGTTCTCTTTTTGGGAAGAACATTATAAATCAAGAGTTCTCTTCGCTAATTTTGAACTTTATTGGATTGGATGCACCAAAAATCACCACTACAACCATTATCTTTTTTCTTGGGACACTGTCATCATCTTCATCATCATTATAATGATTGGGTGTCTCTTTTGTAAGGTTTGCTTCGTTGCATGTATTTACTTGTTTATTTGTTTTTTTGGGCGGTGGGGACTAGGTTGTTTGCGGGAGATTTGTTTCCTTTTCTGCTTTCTTATCCGAATCATATTATGTAAGAATTAATTTTGATATGCAAAGTTACCATCTTCTGTATATTTCTATATTGATTTGTCAGTGTTCTATTATTGGTGATGATTATTCTTAATGATCATATACATACCATGTATTTGCAGCAAATTCTTCTGGAGATCACGCACTGCTAAAAACTTCAGCTTGGTCTCTACAACCCCAATCTGCTTCATCAGGTAAAACTGGACCAGATAATAAGGTCCTGCCACATCCTCCAGTTAAGGTGGAGGGAACTGTAAGGGCAGAGGGCACTGCCAATTTAACCACATCAAGAATGGCCCCTCAGGCAACAACATCTAAACCATTGATCACACAGACCACATCTGGACATCTGCCAACTATGCATCAGCATGTGCCAGGAATGAACTTCGTTCAAGTTCCATTGCTTAGCAATACCCATAGTGAAATTGGTAAGATTGTTCAGAAATTATTACAACCACAGCTTCCTGTGCACCCCACATGGACTCCACCTTCAAGAGATTACATGAATAAGGCTTTAACTTGTCAAGTGTGCAAGCTTACCATAAATGAGGTGGAAAATGTACTTGTTTGTGATGCTTGTGAGAAGGGGTATCACCTGAAATGCCTGCAGTCTCACAATCAAAAAGGAATTCCTAGAGGTGAATGGCACTGCTTTAAGTGTTTGTCATTGAGCAACGGGAAACCTTTGCCTCCTAAATATGGACGTGTCACTAGAAATATAATTGCACCAAAAATGCTGTCCAATACTGCAGCAGTTCAGTCATCTCCAGAGAAGAAAGTGGGTACATTAGGTGAGAAGGGAAATCAGAAAATAACAGCAAATGGAAACTCTGGCTTACAGAGTGCTCCTGCTGGTAGCATGGGCAATAACCATAATCATTCAGCATCTGGTTCAAATATTCCAAATGCAAGAGAAATGCAAGGGAATGATATTTTATCAAGTAGAGAAAAATTGGATAACAAGCGTCCCTTTGAAACTTGTCCAAATGATGAAATCAGAACCTCGGGGCATGCTTGTGTTTCTTCTACTGCTGTCTCATTAGTTGAAAGATCATGTGAAGAGAAACTGGTTTCTGAATCAAAAGCAGAGTCTCCTGCAACACCATCTGAGACAATTACCAAGATGTTGGATCACATGCAAACATCTAGCAACCCCCAAAATAATGACCAAAAAGGGCTTTCAAACAATGCGGGAATTCCATCAAAGCAATGCAACAACAACAACCTTACGGTTAAAGATTCAGAGAGATCTGATAGTTGCAAAACTTTTGATGGCAATCCGAATGACAACATTATACAAGAGGAGCAAGGAGTTGCACTACCCGAGTCTGTTGAAACTTCTGGGACTGGCATTCTGGCTAGCGAGCAGGCTAGTTCTTCATCAGATGGCTCAAATGATGTTGATTGGATTGGTGATGTCCTTCAAGTTGTCGATGAAAAGACATATTATCCATCTTGTTGCATCAATGGAGTCTTGTATAAAGTGCAGGATCATGCTCTTTTTCAATTTAGCAATGACAAACCAATGCCTTCTAAGCTTCAGGTAATCAAATTCTTTCACATTTTAAGGTTATTGTAGCAGTTGCTCTTGTATGAGCATGCTCCCTGTGCCTTCAATATTTATTTCGTTTCTGATTTATTAGTCAGTACTTACTACCTGCAACCAGTGGCGTAAACCGTCCAGTTTTTAGATGGTACTGGTTTGCATTATAAGAGATATAGTAGCCCTTCAAGTCTGCTGAAACCCAGACACACCTGCTGACCTGATGGGCTAATGATGTAATCCAATGAGCCTAGGTGACTGCTTTAAGTGGCTTTTGGTGGGCTATCCTAGCCTTATTTGGTTTCGTTTGCACAGCGAACGCCTGGAAAGTGTAGATTTATTCCTGTTGCTGCTCATAGGAATTACTGAACTCTATCTCTTTAACAAGAACTAGGTTTTTCATTGTTAATTGTATCATAGTGTCTTCCTGAGTAGCCCTGCCTTTCTACTGCAGGCCATGTGGGAGGATAACAAAACTAGGTCAAAGTGGGTTATTGTCAATCGATGCTACTTCCCTTGTGACTTGCCAGAGACAGTTGGACACCCGTGTTCCCCTGAAACCAATGAGGTAATTGTTTATGTGCATTATTTAATTTAACTTTTCTCATCTATGTGCAGGTCCACAAGCTTAAACTCAGTAAGTTGGCCCAATTATAACTACGCTATGTCTTTGTAGTTACTTCTCTGTCCTGGTCAGTGCAGTGAATGTCAATGTGTTGTTGATAATGGGAAAAAGTGACAATAGTTTAAAGGAGTAGAGGTGTATTGTGCCATTCTATAAAAGTTGTGTTAGGTTGGCTTTCCAGTTACTGGTTAGTAGACTTGGGTGGAGGCCACATCGGCATACATTTAGAATTTTTTTGAAGTAGCAACTTTACACAAAATGGTAGCTTACATATTTCTGCTTACTGTTGATGCCATGAACAAGTGCTCTCAACCCCTTTGTGGTTTTGGGTTAAAGCAGAAAATTCTTGTTTAACAGTTCAGGGCATGCGTGAACTCCTTGTTGCTTCATTGTAGGTTTATGAGTCTAATCATGGTAGCGCCATGATGGCCGGCTTGATTCGAGGGCCATGTGAAGTTCTTCCTCCAGGCAAGTTTATTGAAGAAAGTGAGAGGAGATCCCGTTTGGGGAGTGCGGCAAATGATGGATTATGGCCACTTTTCCTGTGCAAGTGCGTTCCCTTGCTTCTCACATATATTCCTTGTATTTCAATTGCTTTTCTATTAAAGTTGCATGGTTTATAGTAACCTTTTTTATTATAAGAAGGTGCTGTGTCCTTGTTAGACACCGACGTTACTGATATGAGTTGAACACATTCCTGTTCAAGCGTATCTTACTATTCTTTTAATAAAATGTAGTTTCGGACTCTAGGGGCACACACTTGTCAATCACTTGGACACATCAAATATGCTACAAGTTTGAACAAAATAACTTAGGATCCAATAATAAAAGAAAAATAATGTAGATTTATACGTATTAATCACTTCTCCTTTAAACTTTAAAAATTAGTATTATATTTTTTATTATGTTTGAATGAAGCATTCATATATATATATATATTTATAATATATATATATATGTATGTATATTTGTGTGTGTGTGTGTTCTCCATGTAGTGTCTTGCATTAAAAATAAAATAAATTGTCTTGTCTCATGTCCGTGTTTCTTAGGGTTTAACCATTTGTCCCCTTTCCAGGCAGTGCACACACATGGTTTCCTGCACTTGTGTGTGGTCTATGTATGGTTCATGAGTTAGTTCATTATTATTTTATTTATTTTCAGCCTGGTGGAGGTGAATTATCTGATGATGGCTTTTATTTATTGGAGATTTTAATTGTTTTGCAGATGGATTTATGATGAATCAAAAGGTGTATTCAGAGATGTTTCATGTTAGTTGCAGTCAGAAATATATTTTTAGTTTTCATAGTCTTATTTGGGCTCTCCTTGCAGCAAGCCAACAGATATCCCTTTGATCAGGTAGACTTTGTATGCTAGGTTAGCCTTTCTATCAAGGCTCTCTTCCTCTACTAAGAATATCGTCAATTATGTCCAACTAATTACACTTATATTTTGGGCTCTATGAATGAGTAATGGTTGATGGTAATTATATTTAGTCAAATTAATTAATTTATATTTTGTTATCAATGCTGCAGTAATCCCAAGATTGCATGGTTTTACCATTGATCCACTTCACCTCAATCCTATATTTTGCTGTATGCACAACAAGAGGGGTATATAGTTTTCTTCAGGTTCATGTTATATAATATTTGCAATTAGTCTTTTGTGTTTATTTATCAAAAAAAAAAAAAAAATTCGTCTTGTGTTTAAAATTTTTGAAATTAATTTTTGGGCATAAGAACATGATTTAAAAGCTTTAGCCAATTCCATGGCACAAATAATGCTGGAGGTAGGTTTTCTACCCGGTCTACTCCGAACATGCCATTTCAGTGGCACCAACATTATGTTTTTTTTTTTTTTTTTTTGCAGATTGAAACGATGATTATATTATATTTTATTTTATCTGTTTATACCTATAAAAAATATAAAGAATAATCATATATGATGTTAGGAGGCAAATGCTTCATTGCTTGGTGTTTCATTCATGAATAACAAATAACCATGGGTTAAAAAATTAGCACGAGTCATTGTAGAAATTAGCAATTGGTTTAACACTGGTCCTTGTTGGACCTGTTTGGGCATTCATACCCTAGTCTGTTGGAAGGGTGGTGTTTTGCCCTTAATGCATTGCTTGGACTGAGAGGATATGCTGCCAATAGCTAATAGCTGAAAGTAGTCCCTTTTCTCATGAGGTTATATAATACCCTAGTTTTTGCCCTAACAGCTAAAAGTCTGCAAATGATGACTAGAAATCATACACTCCTAAAACTGATAATTGGTCACTGACCACCACTACTTAAATAATTGACAAAAAAAAAAAAAAGACAGGTGAAATTATTGTAAACCTACTGAGACATGTTAGCATCAATTTCAGTAAGCATACCTGCATTTACATATTAATATGCTCTATTTTTTTTCCTTTTCTTATTTTATTTTTTTGTATAGGTGCTTTTGGGTGGCCTTTTCAACATATTTTGTTTCTGTAACTGCCATTCTTGCTGTGTTTGATCCCACTTGAAAACCAAAAAGTTACGATGAAACTAGAAAATTGTTTGTGGGTTATGAATGGTGAATTGGTGTGAACATTTATAGTTTCCCCACAATCTGGTTATGTTTCTTTACGCCTGTTCTATAAAATTATTTAAGCATGCTTGTTACTAGTTTTTGGTCCATGTCATGTATCCATTAAGGATTATAACCGAGTTATTTATTTCCAAACAGGTAACCTGTTTCAGGGGGGCCGTACAGACGATTAGTGAAGCTTCCATTACTTTTTTATTGTACAATATGTAGCTTTAGCCGTAGGCTGTATCATCTTCCCGATAGTAATTCAAATTGCAACCCTTTTTTCTAATTCTGGTAGAAATTGCAACATTTTCATCATTTTTTGGTCAGCTTATATTACATTGCCAACAAGTGGGACAGGCTTGTCAATCACTTCATGTTTTTCTGCTCTGCTCTGTTCTCTCTCAACATTGAAATATTTATTCAATACAAGATGTAATTTCTTTTGCAGATGTTTCTCATGCCTCAGTTTCTTTTCTTTTCTTTCATTTTCTTCCTATTCCTTGAGTGATTGCTAGTCATATCTGGCATCTGCCTTTTCAACATGGATGCAAGAGGATAAAGCAGTAAATAATAAATGGAGTGAACATATTGCTATGACTCTACCCTATTAAATTTCTTCCTCGTTATAACTTAGTGAACTTGTTAAAACTACAGGGAAGGGGGTTGAATTTTCCACAATTTGGTTCTCTGCTGTTGTGTTTTGGGTCTTGGATTTGAGGCAAACCAATTTTATCCCCTTCTGGTTTGAGTCATTTATACTTAACCTCTTGTACTTTTATAATATGCAGAGGGTCCATTGTGATATTAGACTAAAATGCAACGTTAACATTGCTAATAACAAACATTAAATGATCAAATTATCTGTGTTTCTACCACCAGGGGTGGTGGCATAGTGGAGGAAACAGTTTTCTCCATAAGAGTGACCCATGCTTGAATCCTGGAGGGCGTGAAAAATAGCTGGATTTTCCAGCTGGTTCTTTTTGAGGCCTTGCACTGTAATTCGATCGACTCTGGACTCTTTTGTGGCGTGTGGCTAAGCTTCATTGGTGCCTCGATAGTGGGTCTTTTCCTATGAGTTGAGTTAAATTTGGCCAACAACTGATTATCCTGGGATTAGGGCCCATAGATGCGGTGCCAACACCGCAGAACATCCTTTTTTTTATCGTTAAAAAAAAAAATTGTCTCTTTCTTTCTACTCTCATTGACTCTCTTTCCAATTTCAATACAGTTGTTAAATTTTTGCATAAGTTTGAATTTAATTAAATATTAGCTCAGTTAAGCATAAATTTTTAAGTTGAATACTAAACTAATTTGTTATTTATTTATTATAATAACGTGTGTAATTAACTAAAATATATTAATTACTAAATAAATATTAGGGTTAAGATTTTGGATGAAAAAGATGAAGAAATGCTATTTTTGTTTTTTTGCTTTGAAATTTGATTTCAACTCTGCTGTTGGAAAGAGGGTATTGACCACTTCGAATTAGTTTAAATGGCATATATGATGTAACAGATTTTGAGTAAAGTGCTAAATAATCAAAATCACAAACGACTGTCTATTATTGAAGTCAATTATGTTAGGGACTCCTAGTGGGGGTCACCCCACTGGCATTTCATTGGCCAGTTCTTTTTTTTGTTTTTTTTTTTTTCAATCACCCACCCCCACGTGGTGGTGGGGGTGGGGAAGTACAGGGGTCTGGGGCATTTTTGTATTGAAGTATAGGGAGGTAAACCGCATATGACTTAGATTTAGACTAAAAATATAAACAGATAAGGATTTGTGAAGTATAACATTGCCAAACTCCAACTGAGGTCTACTGATGCCTACAAAACTAAAACCCTACAGATCAAAGAAACAATTGAAGTAACTTGTGGATCAAAAAACAGCAATCAAATGCCTTGAATGATGCCTCGATTCAATCACTAAACATTAGAATAATGTAGAAAGTACCCTAAATTTCATGCATGTATTCTTTCTATCATTCCCAATACCATATATTGAACTTAATAAGTTGCTATTACTTCAAGGCCAAATGATCCATGATATGAGCTCTGTGATCTTGTTGTGATAGAACCCACCAGCTTGAAGACTTGCCTGTGTTTAACATAACATCAATCCAGATGATGTAATTACATTGTCTCTTGCATGCAAGAGAGAGAGAGAGAGAGAGAGAGAGATGCCATTTCTCTATTTATTAATGTTTACTAATGTAGGGGTGTGTGGGAGTCAGTTTGGGTTGGTTTTGGGGAAAAAAAATTATATTCTATCTTAGCGGATTGAGAATTTTTTAACTCGCTGCCAACTCATTTATAAAAAAGAAAATCAACAGATTAATATATAGTTAAATATTTTTTATTAAATATCATGAATGAGTGAATAATCGAGGTCTTGGTGTGAAATATTTCTTGTTATTTCATAATATAATAAAAAAAAGGAAAAGACAAACTTCACTTTATCTCCTGTTGTTTGAGCCATGTGTAGTTTATCCCTCTAATGTTTAGAAATAATCACGCAACTCTCTTGTGGTTTGTGAATTGAAATGCACCATTAAATATTTTATCCAACTTAATAGCAAGTGTGAAACACGTGACAGACATAAGGGATTATATGCTCGTTTTCAAAGTTTAAGGAGATAAATCGCACATGAAATAAAGCACAGGAATTAAAGTGTAATTTGTCTTCTAAACAAATGATGAAAATATAGGAGTAATTTAGTCTTTTTTATTAAATTGTTAACAAACTTAACAGTACACTTCAGTTCATAAATCACAAAGGAATTATGTAATCATTTCTAAATGTTAACGGGATAAACCATACATGAACCAATCCATAGGGTAAAGTGAAGTTCGTCCAAAAGGAAATATAGCTTCAAGAGTAGTAGACACTCCATACAATAAATCTGCAAAATATGCAAAAGAAGAGTTGGGCCTATATAACCTAGTAAGTGAAGATTTCTTAAACCTATACTGTCGGCAATTGAGAGCTACATGAGTTAGCCTAAGTTTCAATTTTGCCTGACGAATCCAAAACCAAACTATTAACATGCTTCAGTGATTAGTGGAACTCTGTTTCCCCGTATGTGTTGCAATACCATGCTTTCGACATATTCCCAAAACTATAAGTTCAAAACATTAATTAAAATGATGTAGTAATTTTTGAATAACATGGTTGGTTGCATTAATGTTATAACTTAGATTTCTCTCTCTCTCTCTCTCTCTTATATTTATATATTTTTTATTTAGAATATCTATTATTCAATCTAAGTTAATTAAACTTAAGTTTCTCGTATTTAGATAGTCGAGAACTAATCCCTAGAGGTCTTGAAATTATGATTGAGTAAATCTCCAGTGTCCCTTAAAAACCTTAAACTTGAGATTTCAGATTTTGTCCGGAAGTTTTTATATTTTGTCCAACCCTTTGGGATTTATAAGTCAAATTGGTTGATGTTATAATACATGACTTTCTATAGCATTATGGTCATATAAACCCAAACTTGTTCAAAACTGAAATTTTCTCCAAACAACACTCTATTCATTAGGTGAAATGTGGGTTCTATCTAAATAAAATATTGTTATCCATAATCGAAAGTCAATCCTAGGTAGCACACTTAAATTTATCAAAAAATGCAAATTCAAAATACATGTCACCACTTATGTACAACACTTTCACTTTTTGTGCGGTTTCAAACCCAAGTTCATTTAGCTTGCTTTAGCTTATTCTTGGAACACATGTTTTTGTCAATACTGCTACCGACACACTCCAAATCACATCATGCTCAAGTGTGAAATTTTTATTCAATTTTTACATCATATATTTAGACAATGACATGGTGAAATCATCCAATAAGAATTTCACAATTGATGTGGGTTCGGAGTGTCTCTCTAGAATTATCATTATGTTTATGAATGTTGTTATTATATAGTAGATATATTTATATGTATGATAGTATACATAGGATAATAATAACTATACTACATTTAGAATGGTAAGTGCATACAAGTACCCCTCTTTTGGTAGAACAAGATAAAAAGGGATTCTAATCAAAACCCTTCTTTAATCAAACCTCTCTCTTTTTAACTGTTAATCCTTGTTACCACTGTTATGACTTCTTCCTTTTGAGACCAAAATCTCTTACTTTTGCACACTAAAGTAGACAGCAATCTCAACTCTCCTAAAAAATTCCTATTTGTTTGAAAAAGTTTAATAGACAGAAAAAATTAATTATAGAATCGGGTATAATGCTTTTCTCTTTCACCGAGAGGATTGTGTCTGATATTGTAATTGATTTCTATGCAAAGAAAACTATATTTATATCCATGTTGATAATCGTCTCACTTTTATCTGTTGAAGTTTTTAACCCTTTAAGCTCAATGTCAAACCGACAATTAAAGGTTTGATGAATAATGCTCAGTCTATTCATGAAAACTTTGACCAACTATCTACAGATCGGATGGCAACGATTGCATCAGAGTAGGAATTTTATAGTAGAAAATCAATTTAGACCATGATATGCTACTATCTTTGCATGCATCATTCATGGCTTTTAAGTGACAAATATATAACAGTTACCATTTTAGAAGAAATAACTCACTGACGTAGCGATGCCACAAATTTATCCAAAGTTATTACATAGTGTGATGTGAAATATACATATTTTTATTATAAAAATAATTATAAAAGAGAGATAGTGGTGGGTTTTGCACGTGTTCCCATCATTTCTCAATATTTTGTGATCTAAAATTGTTAAAATCAAGATTATAATATATTATTAGAGTTGTAATTACTTTACAATTCTATAAAATTTAAGATTTTAGAGTCGTTAAATTCTATGATCTAAATTGGATTCTAATAACCATGATTATATGATTATTTTTATGAAAAAAAATACTAATAATTCATCTTCATGGATGTGTAATTGTGTGTAAAGAAAGGTGAATTTTTAGATTCATTAAAAAATGGTCCGGCTTGGTATCACATGAACCGGCGACTATCAAGGCGTACACTACAAGAAAAAGCATTTTTGCCGACCATTTTTGACTACCAAAACCAATTTAGTCGCCAAAAGTCACGGAATTAGCTACCAAAAATAATATTAGTCGGCAAAAGTCAAATTTTTAGCTACTAATTTTTTTTAGTCGGGGAATGTTGATTATTGGCGACTAAAAAAAATTTAGTAGCTAAAAATATTACAATTGGCGACTAAAAAAATTTTTAGTAGCTAAACATATCACAATTGGCGACTAAAAGAAAATTTAGTAGCCGTAGAGGTACCTTTAGCTACTAAATTGTTTGGTAGCAAAATGAAAATAAAAAAATTAATTTTTAATCTTTTGCCGACCAAAAGTTTGGTCGGCAA